ATCCTGAGAAGTCTAAAGCCTGTCATTTTCTGCAACAATACCACACACCTCTCGCTCAGAGAGAAAGCTGGCAAGGCAAGATGAAGCCTTGGGCTGGTTTCCACCTGATTTTCCTGGTTGCTAGTTCGGTGGAGGGTGACGTCTCAAATCGTGGCACTGCAGGATCCCAGGACACTGAAGCCACTTGCTGTGCACGTGAGTTCCAGATGTCTGATCTTTCAGCTTGGTCTTAACCTCTGTGGGGTCCCTATGTGCAGGAGCAGAATGTTGGTCCTTAGTTTCCCAATAAAGCCAATTCGTAAAAAAAAAAAAAAGGGGAATACTTGCCTCATGTTCTTTCGACTGTCCACAACTATTGTGAGCATGAGGACCCAGATTGTTGGAGACAATATGCTGACTCTGTAAACCACTTAGAGGGTTCTGTAAAGTACTACAAAGGGGCATATAAGCTTAAGTGCTACGTGGCTCAGGAAATAAATGAAGGATGAATTCTGGCTGCAGGGAAGTTCTGCCTTAAAATTGAGCATTTTCTGAGGGTACTGGTGGCATTTAAAGATTGGCGAAAGTTGATGAGTTGTGATGCTCTTGAAGGGAAAGGATCCTTTCAAAGCAGCAGCATCTTCAGAATAGCTTTTAAAGATCAATAAGTTACTTTATAATTAATAAATAAAAACAAAATTGATTTTGAACTGCTGGGTAATTTTCAGATGACATTTTGTATATGTGAGATATATATTAGTTGGGGTTTTGATATCTGTAAAACACAATTAAGATCTTTGCCTAAGTATTTACCTAAACAATTTTATGTATGTATTTGTATAGATAAACATGAGAACAAGAAAGTTCATCTTCTAGATATAGACAGGGCCACCTTAATGAACTGTGTTTTATGTGGAAGACCCTGGTTTCACATGGTATAAAGGATGAAGACGAGAGCTGGTTTGGTGTAGCAGTTAAATAATCAAGGTAGAAATTGGGAGAACATGAGCTGTAATTCCACTTTAGGCTAAGGTGACCAGACGTCCCACTTTTGGCGGGACAGTCCCTCTTTTGAACAATTTGTCCCGCGTCCTGGTTTTTTTTTTAAAAAGTCCAGATTTTTTTTAAGTTACGAAAAAGCCTCCAGCCGCCTTGAGGCTCTCCTAGCAACTGGGAGCCGGGTGCATTCCCGCCTGCACGATCTTGGGAGCTGTTGCCAATGGCTGAGGGAGGAGAAGACTTTACTCCATGTGGAGACCGCNGCTGACTCTCTGTAAACCGCTTAGAGAGGCCTGAAAGGCCTATGAAGCGGTATATAAGTCTACTGCTATTGCTATTGCTATTGCTATTGCTGCAGGATAGAAATATTAAAAATAAAAAATGGTGCATTTTATTCTATGGAAATGTGTTTATCCTGTAGGTTCATACATTTTTATTTCATATATTTTGTGTAAACCATTCTGCAGCTCACAAACTTGCAAAGAATTGCAAGGTATTCAAAGTTTAAAATATATACTTTGTTTTTGTTATCTATTTCTATGCCTCCTTCATTTTTTTAAATAAATAACTGCTTATAATGAGGAGAGTGTATTCAATATGTTTGATTCCTCTCCTAGATTTCCAAAATCTCTTCCACACAGGATCATTTGAGCAAGTAATTTCAGCAATAACAAACGTATCTCATGTATTTTACTCTATGGATGAATTTTCATTGTTTAATAGCACTAGATACATTGTTTTACTCCTCCTTTTCAGAGATTCTGTTGGTTGTTGTTTTCCATGTTAGATAGCTTGTATAAAACATGCATCCATATATGTGTATTTATTATATCTATATCTCTATATATAGCATACTTATTTCTTGACAGAGCAGTCCCTTGATCAAAACATTGATTCTCTCCTTTTCTTTTTTAAAATATATTGAATGAGAGTTATGAGGTTGCCTGCCTGCTTGCATTTTCTTCCTGAACACTTTTGCAGGATTGAGGGGAGAAAGTCATAAGAAAACTAAAGAGGAATGGAAGGTATCTGATTGCACTTAAGGAACACGAGCCTTCCCTTGGGAGTGAGAAAACTCACTCTGTATAACAGTCCTTAGAAATTGCAAAGGAGAATAATAGTACTTTCTCCTGCTCTGGGGAAGATGCTAGCTGTGTGCTATCAGCAGTCATGACTAATGTACCTGCACTCAGTTTACAGGTGAATGATTACGATTTAACATTATTCCTATTTAAATTTAAAAATGCAAATTATTGCTGCAATTAAAGGGCCCCTGGAAAAGAGTAACGATTAAGTTTTGACAGAATATTCAGTCTTGCTCTATTTTGTGTTTTTATATAATGAATAGATAGACAAACATGGAACGACTTTAAAGTATGATTAAATCTGTCCCTGTGGTGTGGAATTAAGGACGGTTTCAAAAGATGCCACTTAAACCCACTTTTGAAATTTCAAGGAGAATAAAAACAAATAATCTGGGGGGAGAATCAGAAGGATATTCTGTCAAATGTGTGGAACTCATCAAAGGATTATTCATATTTGTCCACACTTCTGTTTACATTCCCTCTGAATGATTCTGAAGCTGCAAAATTCACTGAAAGCAAAAAAAATGGATAAGCCATATATCTCCAACTCTTGCTTCTGATCCATGCTTCCAATTTGTCCATACCGAAATATGTGTAGAGGTCAGTCCATTGTACAAGATTGGATGCAACTCAATTTTTGGCTCTGTTAACAGCAAAGGATGAAGGGACTGCAGACGCTGTCTGAACACATCTTCAAATTTTAACGGCCCCATAATCCCTTGCGGGGTGGAGTCTGACCAACTGAATGGAGCTGAGTGTTTACTGTCTCGATGCCTTCCTGTCACCAATGTGAAGTTACATTCTCTTTGTGCCCAGATAGGCAAATAAGTGTCTCTACCTAGGATCGAACTTACAGCCTCTTGATTGTGAGGCGAGAGCTCCACCTGTAGGCCCCTGCACCATTCAGGCTGCCTGAATGCATAACAATCATAATTCAAACAGAGACAACTCCGTGATTGAGACTGTTATTCATACAGTCTTTTGTTTCATTGGCTTTTATTTTATATTTAATCTTGTCATTGTACATGTTTCTTTCTTGTCTCCAGCTCGTAAACAAGAGATCATCAAGGTTACTGAGCAGCTGATAGAAGCTATCAATAATGGGGATTTTGAAGCCTACACGTAAGTTGCTTTCTGCTCCCTGTTCTGCTTTCTCTTAGTATTAATATAGACTATATTTTCAACAACTGGTTATTTTTTAGTCATTTTTTTCATATATTTTTTTTAGTCATTTTATTGACATTTATAGGCCGCCCTTTTCCCTAAGGGGACTCAGGGCGGCTTACATTTCATAGGAGGGGGTGTGTGAGACAGGACACAAAAAGGAAAAAAAAATGTGAGTAAAAAAAATAACCAATAAAACATAACATTCATTCGACATTCGGGCGGGGCAAGATTAGGGACTTATCCCCAGGCCTGACGGGATAGCCAGATCTTGAGGGCTGTGCGGAAG